GTGGTAAAATTGTTAGTGACGTAATGAGAAAGTTGTGATCTCTCAAGGCCTGAACAGTACATGAACTGCAAATAAATACAAACAACAACACAATATACTGATACAATTCATATTAGGGATCTCAGATGTACTGAAATAGCTCCATGGGCCATATTTCCATAAATGTACCAGCACTACCACAAGGAATGAATGAGTCAGGTGTATCATAGATCTTCAATAAGGGACAGGTAGAATGTTCAAATACAACGGTATGTTTGTCAAACTCATTTACCTACGCCGATAGATATTCTCATCGCAACTGTGTTTGGACAAATGCCGGTTGTGGTGAAAAGGCAAACAAGCAAACGTCATGCATAAATGGAACTTCAAAGGTTGAATCAGAGTTACCTAGAACTTCACTGGTTGTAATTAGAACTACTTTAATTATTCATGTAAAGAACGCTCCCTACTGAAGAGTAAACTTCACGATCAGTTTCCCTAGAACTATCCCTCTATAAAGTTTGCTGGATGCGCAATCCCAGAATTTCGTGACTCGAAAGCGCCGTTACGGAAAACTGGATAAATAATTATCATTCCTATATTGAGCCTCGACGCCGCAAACCTATCGGAGTCTGCGTCTCGCTCGTTCGCACTTGCCTCAGTATCCAGTGCAAAAAAGAAGGCCTTCCCAGCTTTACCGCATTTCTTTTCCTTTTCTTCGCTGTGGTTCATCACATTTTGAGCGCAATATCACCTAGACAATCGTAAAATACGCTGAAGCTTTCTGGGGAAGCATATTGAAAAAAGAAAACGTGGCTGCTTCCCTACATGGAATGCTTCAGAAACCAAATTCACGGAGCCGACGATTGGTTCCAAAATGTAACATTCAGGACGATTTACGGCAAATGGGATATGGAAAAAGGGGCGGCATGTATATTAAAAGGACGCGGGGCCCTTAATGAAATGAGTCGAGATATGCTCCGCCGCGCAGCCTAACCTCAACCCTGGTCAGTCCCGTCTGTCGCGCTCTGGCTCGCCTCCTCCTGCCGTACTCCCCCCCCCCTTTCACTTTGCAAGAGCACTTCATATAAGAGGGTCGTATTTTTTTTAACTTTTCTAAGTTATGCGTTACCAACGAAGAATGATATTTGTTGAATGAGACCGGCATACGAAGTTATACGACGAGCTCCTCCAAAGCAAAGGCAAAGCGATCTCATGTAATTCACAAGGATTATATTCTGAACAAATGAATATTATTTACAATTATTCATTAATTTTTCCCTTAGTTTTTCCCCGTCTGGAAAGAGCCCTCTGGATCACGGCCCAAATACGCTATTCCATAAATATTACATCGATTACTTTCCTTTTAAATATTTCGGTAATTTGAAAGAATAGTAGGTTTCAGCAATAGAAGGCTAATAGGAGGATTACTTCACAGCACCACATCTTCCTCGATGATGCGTCGGCCCGCGCACAAAAAAGTATGCGTAAACAGTGATAAAAGAACTTGTCCGCCAAGAAGAATGGAAAAGAGTCTCAAGCAGATTGAAAATTGGTCGAGGATTCGTCGGCAACTCATCGAGGACCTTCACCTGCTCAGTCACGCTCTCCCGCGCGGGCATTAACTCTCGTCAGACGCGAGCTGTCTGTGCTCTCAGCGCCTATTCACTGTCGTCACTGTTCTCACACAGCACAGAACTGTGGTCGAGGACTCACTTGACCGTTGTTCACCCTGGTCACAAGTCATGATAAAGAATTCCACTTCGACAAGAATCTCAACAGAGAAGCTCCATCTAGCTACCCCGTCGCGGGATGCGATTTTGATGTTTTTGGACTCCTTTCAAAACCAGTTACTTTTTCTGACTGGCGAATTCTCTTTGGGACCAGGTCTTTTCCCTACAAAAGCTACCCAAACACAGCTGCAACACTACTGAACTCACTACCAACAACTCTAATACAAACCTCTAGAAATGAATGCTCCTCACACTACTAATACATGAAATCACACACCCTGGATTCAATTTCAGCGAATCATCCAACCCGATTTGGTTAGTATTTGATTAATATGGTAAGTATCAACTATGAAAATAAGACACAAACTCAACTGCTAGCAACAAAATTTCACTAATAAAATAGCGCTCATAAAATTTAAACAGATGCAGGATATAAATGGGCCAAACTCAAGCATTCGTTATAAAATACCACTCGAGAACGAGGGAACGCCACCGTAGGCACTGCCACATTGGCCAGAATCATAATCGCCGTAACTCTTCATGTCGACATTATTTGACGTCACTTCGTTTACCTGAAACCTTTCACAATTACCCTCCCAACATCTAAAAATCGTGGAATTTGGCCATCAGATCTATCATTAGCCGTAAATTTTTGCAGTTTGAAAATCCAAAAGATCGTGCGGTGAATTCACAATGAGTCAAATGCGTGAGTGAACCTAAAGGCACATTCTGCTATGGAATAAATTTGGGTATGCATCCGAATATTATAATAGATACGACGTTTTGGCTTAAATAGGTAATAAAAGAGAAAAAACAAAACTGATAAGAACTCTCAAAATCACTCTGCACTGGTCGTATGGGCGGTACAAGCCTAACCAATTGTACTCTTCTCATTAGTCGTTTTCCTTCCCGTTACGGTAGAATACGGTAAGAAACTAGAAGAAAGTTCACCAATGAAAAGCGCAGGCTGTGCCGCCTGTGCGAGCAGCGCAATGTGATCAGGAGATTGTTTTTGTCCACACTCTTCATAACTGACCTACTTGAAACATCATATCTACCCTTATTTCGGACCCAACGGCACAAATCATTCAATCGGAGAACGTGCGTTAAAAATGAGAGATTGCTAGATGAGCCCTCACTATTCCTATTTAGAAGCACCTTTCTTAGCTTGATCGCCAAAACCCAACAACAAAAGAAACTCTGCATGAACTGGCCTGCAGTAGTTACTACCTGAGTGGGATCTTCATCACGGATCTGTTGTTTCGTTGCCGAATGCAACTCGTACGGAAGTCCATTAAGATTTGCCAAATTAAAAAGCGCAAGGAATTGAACGTTGTCGTCTTCTTGTTGTGACAAATGCTAAATAATGGGAAATATTACTATATGAGAAAACAAGAACCTTCTGACGACGATTCCACCATGTTTCTACGAAGAAACGTTTTCACAAAAAATGAGATAAGAAAAATGAAAAATGCTGGAAGTAAGCTCACTTCAATGCTTGGCAATAGAAGTAGCAATTTTGAGATTCGTTGAGCAACTTCGATAGCCGAATAAGACGGGTACTCGTGTTGAATGTGATGATAGAGAGCGTCTATGTACTTGTTGCGAACTTTGATCACATGAAGTTTGCCTTCTTCTGACAGGCGATGATCTATAACGACCAGAATTCGAGTACAAGAAGCCGAGAAGCCGTACGGTGCTTGATTTTCAAAGGGTGGTTCGATCGTGTACATATTCCCAGTCCCAACGTCACCACTTGTGGACAGCAGTGGGAGCAACGGCTGGGAGCCAGAACTAATTTGCAGATATCACTGGTGGAAGCAGGGCGAACAATACATCGAGGAAATTTCCGTGGCAGTACGACCTCCTCCGGTACGCCCCAGTGGTCATGAGGGATCGTTCAACTTCCAACCTCTACAACTCTGCTCTTGAAATCCTTCCTCGACTGCGCGGCGGGGACGGGGGGCGTGTATATGTGACTACTGAAATATGTAGTAAATTTACGGTAATTGAAATAGATACGTCGCAATTTATTTTGCCTATCCCCACTATTCCCATCTATGGCCTTCAGAATTCCGGAATACGATCCCATCCGTCTCCCAACAAGGTACATGTGACCCTCTTGCGAAAAATCCTCGACTGTGGGGTCACATTGGTGGCCAGAGGCTCTGCTTAGCACGCACGTGGTCCGACATTTAATAGCGGATCTAACCACATCTGGGTGAACTGAGCCCCCCCCCCTCCCCAGGGTCGGATGATTACTACTATACTATACGAATGTTTGAAATTCTTTGATTTGTAAATTGGCTGGCTCTCGCAGCTCAATATGGGTCACATCCCATTTCAATGCCATTATGATTCTGAACGGAACTTGGAAAAAAACCCTAGAAGGGTAATGGAGAGGGGATTTATCAGGTTCCTATTTCTTATCCTTTAATCGTAATGATCACTACCATGAATTCCACTAAACCGGCCACCTTCAATCTTGACCATTTTACGAGTGATCTCATACCTAACCTTTCCTTCGTGGACTAGGGAAGACTAAAAGGCTCAAAAACTTACCAACGCGGAACAGAATCAGCACTTTCAGCAGACAAAAAACCTCCACTCGTTCATAATCCTTCTCACGCATGGGGAAAAACCACCACCGTCTGCATTAAGATGTCGGAAAGAATTGAAAAATAATGGTTGCACCTGAAACAAGCAAAAGCATAACATCAGTAGCAGAACGTTCTCTCTTTTCTTTTTTCTGTGGTGATCCATCGCGAACGATTGCTTTTCTGATTAGTTTTTCTATTCAATCAAAAGGAGAGCAAATACACATTCTCTTTGAGACCGCATGCTCAATTATCTTATACCACAGCATAGGAGCTCCACATAGAAAATCAGCTATTTAAGAGACCTACCCAGGGTCCAAAGTTTTCTGTAGATCTTGTCCGGGGGACTCAGCTACATTCACCAGCGCCACCCGTCAAACCGCTATTAAACGTCTGCAATTACTGGGAATTTAATCTCTGTTTCCTAAAGACAGATTCTTCATCAGTTTACTAAAATGGACACATCTGACCCCATAAATTGACTGCTTCTTTTTATTAACACCGATGCTAAACAACTTAAAAGGACATGATTTCGCATCTGCCATCATAGTGTGGTCATTTCGCTCAAAAAAGGAAAGAGAAGTCCGAATTGGACCATAAGTGAAGAAAAAGGCTAGAACCAGACAACCAGGATCTCCATACAGCACTGTTTGCGAATCACGATCTTCGAATGAACAGTCTAGGAGATAGTAGGCGCCAAAAAGGAGGAGCAGAGTCGTAGACGAGGGAATGTAGGGTATAAGCGAGACGCCATACACGTTGTAGTGCAGGCCAGCCTACATTGACGAAGTGTCCATGGATGCAAGCTATAAGCACGTTGAGCACATACCACAGGTTTTGAGTCGTGAAAGTGGCACAACCTTTGTGGTTACAGAGCCTTACCTCATTTTAAAGGGGTGGAGGCCAATGAACCAATCTGTCGTGAAGGATGCTTATGAAAGGCGGAGCTTTGAGATTACGATACAAACAATGAGTCAGGACGATTGTCGGGGAATCTTTCCCATGTTTTCTCTCTTCTAGAGAGTCTGATTGTGAGATTTGTTGTTGAGATGTTCTGAGCTCCGGCCTCATGGAGCTCACCTTTTATCTTATTCAACAAATGAATGTTGTTTATTTTATGTTAACTACCGATGCCTAGTAAAATTACAATCCACTGAAACCAATGGAATCTAGGTTTAAATACAAAAAAGCAAACATTCAATTCTAAACTTTTTAAATTCTAAATTCTCAGCTTGCAAGTTATGAGGTACAGCAGCTCACCTTGTACGTGTGGCATAGCCAGTTCACTGATACAACCCGATTTCTGAGCAATACGTATTGATCTGCCGGCGATAGGGCCTAAACTTTGACTCGATGAGAAGATTTAAGGTTAAAATAGCCTACAGCGAAATATGCCTTTGTACTATTTACCATTTGATTTCTTCTTAGTAGCTACCATTAGATGCTTTTCAAAGTAAGGTTATCAAATTAAGCCGAAAAGAACACATTAAACATGAACGCAAC